GGAAAGAGAAGTTGAAGCTGAGCAAGGTTATTAGCATGATTCTATATGAGGAGGTTAGAAGAAAATTGTCCAAAACAGAATATTCGGATTCAACCTTAAATCTCGAGCAGAGAGGCTGAAGCCAGAAGAAGGGAAATCAGAACAGGAATCGGTCAAAGTCAAAGAAGAAGATGTCGAACTCGAAGGTGAGGCCTACCAAAGGAAAGTGTTGGAATTGCGGGCAGGAGAGCCATATGTTTTCAGTCTGCATGTTAGGAATCTTGACCCCAAGATTAGTTTATTTTGATGATAACAAATATTATATGTTGTGTGTATTATGTGCTAACATTTATTTTGTAGTATCAGAGCTATATCAACAATTATATTCAAAGAGATACTCAAGACATAGATGAGTTCAAGACAAAATGAAGCAAAGAAGAAGATATATTTTATTTTCAAAATATAATTTTATATTTTCTTTGCTTAGAAATTTGTACAAGCCTTGATCACTCACACACATATACACACATAGCGTTAGAACACACTAACACATGCTTAGTGTGTTGGTTAACAATAGAAATCCCTATGTTAGCCATTAGAGTTTATAGATATTGAGCGAGTATTAAAACATTTTATTTATACCCCTTATCAGTTTGAATCTAGAAAAACTTAAAAAACCAAAGTTGTAGGTCTCTTCAACAGCTTTCCAACAAATTTTAAATCATCTCATTCCGAGGTCGGATAAGAAAGTTATAGCCAAAATACTAAAAATAGAATTCCAGAATTTGTGAGTTTACAGTGTAGTCGATTACTATGCCTTGTAGTTGACTACTAAGTAATTTTCTGACTTTATAGAGTCTATTTAGACTCAGTGTAGTCAACTACTGTGACTTGTAGTTAACTACAGATATAGTTTTTTCAGATTTTAGGTTTTGAATAAGTGACTGTTTATAGCCATTTTGTGGATGTTAATTGGATTTAAAATTATGTCATTTCAGAGGCTATAAATAGGTTTAAACATTAGAAAATAAGCACCAAGTTTTGTACTTGTAACATTCACATATTTTGCAAATTAACTCTCTAAACTTTCAGTTTTTTTGATCTGTTTTTTCATAAAAGAGAGTTTATGATATTGCCTTTGTTCATATCATTCTTAGAGCTTGTTTAGGTAATATTCAGAGAGTTAAAAAGATTGATAAGCCACTGTTACACGTTCATATTCACATCAAGGTTTATAGGATTGAAATTGTATATTGCTTCAAAGAAAGGTTCTCTCGGTTTATGAGAGGGGTTGATCTCTTGATCTAGAGATCGGTTTACAATTGGCATGGTGTTGCCAATTGGGTTTGCAATTTGCATGGTCTTGCAAATTGGTCAGGTTTATTTTTGATTTTGTAAGGTTTTAAAATCATAGTGGAAACTCTCAAGCGGGATTTTCTTGGGGACTGGATATACACTGGGGAGGTGGAACCAGTATACATGCTTGTGTTTGTGATGTTCACTTTCTGAGATTGTCATTTTTTCTTTGCAATTTATAATCTACTTTGCAAACTCACTCTCTAGTGTTTAAGTGTAAAGCTTCCGCAGATTTTTATAAGAGCACACTCTATTCTTAAGGGTCACGATCCTACACTTGGTATACATAAGCAAAATCAGACCCTACATTTGGTATTAGAGAAAGGTTGAAGAAATGGCATCAACATCCGATTCAAATTCAAAATTCAAGGAAGGACATTCTACAAATCATCCACCAATGTTTGATGGACTAAATTACAACTATTGGAAGTGTCGGATGAAAATCTATCTCCAATTAATTGGCTACGAACTTTAGAATATTGTGGAAACAAAATACGAGAAGCCAACTACTCCTTTCTCGGAATGGACTATATCTCAAGGGAACAATGCAAATTTAGATTCTAAAGCAATGAACGTCTTGTTCTGTGCTCTTGACAAGAATGAATTCAACAGGGTGTCAACGGCAATATCTACATATGACATTTGGCACACACTTGAGGTAACTCATGAAGGCACACGTAAGGTTAAAGAATCTAAAATTTTTGTTCTTGTACTGTCACGCCCCGCTTCCCAAAATACCCGGGAATCGGAACGTGAACAAGCCCGCGACGTATTAGATTGAGAAGAAATATACACTATCTTTTTTTTCTTTTTTTTCTTTTCTTCTCAATCCAATACGCTAAGCGTCTAGAAATAAATACAATGTGAAGTCACAGGTCCCCGTTCACATATAACAAGAATATAATAAACAACACAAAATAAAATAATACATATCACAAATGGGATAACATCCGAGACATAATATTCGGGTCAACATGCCCTTATACAAAAACTATCTGAATGAAATACTGGAGAATATAAAAATACAATGATCAAAAGGAAATGAAGGTGCTACAAAACAAACTGAAAGGAATGACTAAGCTTCGGATTCTTCTTCTGTTACGTCTACAAGGCACTCCTGCTGAGAATCCTTTGACTCCTACTGAACCTGTTCTTC